GTGTGTGTGTGTGTGTGTGTGTGTCTGTTTAGGAGTGATGGTCACTCATTGGTCTGTTAGGGGTATAGTGTCCAAATTTGGTGTCAATTCGTCCAGTGGCTTTTGAGTACTGTTAATCCCACAAACGAACATTACATTTTTATTTATATAGGTTTACAGTATTTGTATCCAGCCTTTCTCAGTCCGAAGGCGACTCAAGGCGGCTTACATATTTACACTAATTTGATGCCATGACAGTCATAAAACACAATTAAAAAACATTTAGCACAGCATAATAAAAATCCATACAAAACCCCATTAAAATATATAATCAGTAGTATCTTCCTGTTAAATTCATTTTTCCAGTAGCATCGTCTAGCTGTTCCATATTTACTCTTTCGTAGTTCTATGTTTATCTATTACGCTGCATTTCCAAAATCTTGTTCAAAGAGCCGGAAAAAAGTCAGGAGGGAGGGGGCCGATCTAACATCCCTAAGGAGGGAGTGCCACAGCCGAGGGGCCACCACTGAGAAGGCCCTGTCTCTTGTCCCTGCCAAGCGCGCCTGCTAAAAAGAGCCTCCCCAAACAATCTTAATTTCCATTTAAGAACCATTTAGGGCTTTATAGGCTAAAGCCAGCATTCTGATATGCCAGTACCCACAGATGCAGGCAAAACATCAGGAGAAAATGCTTCTCAAACACATTGGACATACAGCCTGGAAACCACACCATACCTCAGAGTTCCAGTACATTTGTGTGGACCCAACAAGAGCCTAGGACCCTAAAATGTTCAGCTGTGAAGATGGCCAAACGGAAGGTGAGCAACCCTTTAATCGTGACTGACGGTTGTTTCCCTGTTTGCTTGCCAGGTGCTCGGACGCTGCTTCTTGACCGTGATGCAGGTCCATTTCCAGTTCCTGTCCCAAGCCCTGCAGAAGGTCCAGCCGGTGGCCCATTCCTGCTTCGCAGAAGCCGTCGCCCAGGAAAGGAAGCCCTCCAGCGGGACGCAGGCCGCTGGGACCGGCCCCACGACCGAGCCCGAGGAGGCCGTGCGCTCCTGGAGGAGGGCGGCCGAGGTGGGTCACCTCGCCAGTGGGTTAAGCCCCGTCCCAGCCGCAGCAGGGCCACTCGACCAAGCCCACACTCGGGGAACACTCACTGAACCCATGCATCCCCTTCGGGTGGAGGGAGGGCCACCTCTGCAGCCTCTAAAAATCCCCAGGAATAGAATCAGAGAGTTGGAAGGGTCATCCAGTCCAACCCCCCTTCTGCCATGCTAGAAAAGCACAATAATAATAATAATAATAATAATAATAATAATAATAAAGTGTCCGACGTGTGATCCAATACAACAGCCAGCAGAGTGTCTGCTGTGGACTCATCTTGTTGTCTTTCAAATAGTAATAATAATAATAATAATTGTCCGACGTGTGATCCAATACAACAGCCAGCAGAGTGTCTGCTGTGGACTCATCTTGTTGTGTTTCAAATAATAATAATAATAATAGTAATAGTAGTAGTAGTAATAATAATAATAATAATAATAATAATAATAAATATATCACACAGTCCTAGACACTTGGGAAGTGTTCAGAGAAATCCAGCATATAGATCTCATTTGCTGTGACATACTGTATTTTTGTGTCAGTAAAATAATAATAATAATA